AGGCCTGAGCAATGGGGCGGGGGGGTGGGGGGGAGGCCACTGATTGCAAGCCAAGGGAGGAAAGCAATCTCCTAGACACCGTCTCCATCTTCTTCCCCCGCTCCCTGTCTTTTTCCTACCTATTTCAGATAGACCAGAGTTATGCGATTCGCACCACATACAACATAAAAGGCATCCATCCATCCTCCTTCCCACCTGTCCTTCCTTCTCTCCTTCCTCCTGTCCTCCATCTCTCTATCTTACTTTCCACTTAGCACACAGCTGACAGGGAAGGAAAGAGTATTCTCAGGGAGCTCAGAGTTCTGGGGAGGGCGCTGACTGGATGATTACCAAGATTAATACTCCAATAGAAAGAATTGCAAAGTATTAAGGAACTCGGGATGCGTCACCCTTTTTTTCTTTCGATGTGGTGTATGTGCGTGCGTGTATGGATGCCCAGACACGCATGCACATGCGTGTAAGAGAGACAGAATACAAAGATGGTGTCTAATATTTGCATTCATTTATCTCTCTTCTGCCTGAGAGGTTGCTTCTAGTGGCCATATTTACTGTCTTGTATTGCTGTGAGCCAACAGCACAACATGAGTGGCTTAGAACCAGAGGCATTTCCTTGCTCCTCTTTACACAGGCTGGGCCTGCGTCAGGGTGTTTCTTCAGATGGCCTTTCCTGTGTTTCCTCACGCAGGGGTGACCTTCTGGGGGCTGTCTGGGGCCAGGTGGTCTGAGATAGCCTTGCTGGCAGTCTGACAGTTCCCCGGGGCTGTCAGTCGAGCCCCTTCTGGTAGCATAGTGCAATTTCTTTCTTTTTCACTCAAGGGCACGGGAGCTTGCCAGAGAGACCGAGAGGGAGAGGAGAAGTCACCTTCTTCCCCACCATGAGGAATGGTTGTGCCACAATCCCTTCTCCTCCATTGCTCCCTCCTGTTAGGATTTAGGGTAAACACGCACATGTTAGTCAAGCGCTGGGTCTAGTATTCAAACCGCATGGTTAGCCATTTGGGATCTGCTACCTTAACCACTAAGCCATGGAGGTGGCCCCAGACTTCTTCTTCTTCTTCTTTTTAATAATGATTTAATTTAATTATTTATTAGTATTATTTTAATTTGACCAGAGAGAGAAAGTGAGAAAGCAAGCTGCCAGGTCTAGAACTCCAACCGCAGCCAGCCATGTGGGAGACCAGTCCCTTAACCACTACGCCACCTGCTGGCCTCCACACGTCTTGCTATTACAGCTGGGCTCCAAGAGAGCAAAGGTGGAAGCTGCAAAGTCTCGGGCAGCTTTGCTTCGAAAGTCACACAGACTTTTTTAAGGTTTTTGCCATAGAGCATATGCACTTGCTGGACAGACAGAGAGAAATCACCCCTCACCCCCACCGGGGGGGGGGGTCATGGTCATGCTGCAATCCTTTCTCTTCCATTCTCCTCCTGAGATTTTGGGCTTGCACACATACATGCTTGGCATGTTTCAAGCTGGTGGATCCAGAACTTGAGCCATGGTCAGCCATGTGCGAGTCCAGCACCCTAACCACTATGCCCCCTGCTGGCCCCCAGAGTTACTTTTCCTGCATATTATTGATCAAAGCAAGTCACAGGGCTGCTCCTCAGGTACATACGAGGATGGGAGGACTCTGTGGCCATATTTTGCAATGTACTGCAGGTGTAAACCTAGGTACCAGGGGAATGGACCCGTTTGGGCTTTTGTTCATTTGAGGAATACCAGTTTATACCCCAAATAAGTTCTAGTTGCTTTCCATCCCCATTCATCCTGCTACTGCCAGTCTGTCTAATTTTAGCCATTCTGGTAAGAGTGTAGTAATAGCCTACCATGCTCTAATTTGATTTCCCTGAGTACTGATGAGGCCGAGTACCTTTGTATGTGCTTTTTGGTCATTTGTGAATCCTCTTTGGGAGGAAGTGATTTGTAGGAGTTCTTTTTATAGCCCGGGTATGAGTCATTGTAATTTTGTTTGACTCTTCCTCTTCCATCTTGAGTGATTTTCCTCTTGATTACAGAGGAAGTAATATCTGAGCTGAAGTTCAGAGGATGATGAATAATTAAAGAAGAACAGAGAATCCTTACAGTAAGAAACATGAGCAGTGTCCAGAGGGGGTAAAAAGTTGTGCATTTGGGAAATAATGAGATTTCAAGGTAGACAGAGGCTGAAGAGAACCAAAGTAGCAGACGATGATGATGGAGAAGTGGGTTGGAGCCAAGAGAGGAAGGGCCCCTCTGATGAAATGGAGGAAGTGTGTTTTCACTGGACATTCCCTTTCCTTTATTTAGGTCTTGGAAATTCTGCCTTAAATCTCCAGGGCTTGGAAACAGACAAGCTTAAAGCATAGCACTTTCACATGACTATCATGTGTAGGGCCATGGAAGAGTTAAAATGATTGAAGGTGGAGAGAGAAGAGAAAGGCTGTGTCACATGCATAGAGGAAGATCAGTGGAAAAGGGAAGGAGAAAGAAGGAAAGAGACAGACAGACAGACACAGAGAGCCGTTGTCTGTCTATTTATTTATTTACTTACAGACCTTCACCCTAGAGAGAGAAAGACAGAGAGAGGAAAAGTGGGAAACACTCCCCAGGGGGAATGGCCACTCCACAGTGTCTTCTCCCCCGTGCTCATCTCGGGATTTGGGGCACACAGGCACACACACCTGGCATCTATCTCAGGCCACCAGGTCTAGGACTCAAACCGCAGAGTCGGCCATGTGGGGTCCAGTGCCTTAACCACCATGCCACCTGCTGGCCCATGTTGCCAATATAGTTAATGGCACACAACGTCTTTGGATGATGATATTTTTGCAGAAACTCTAGTAGAAGCACATAAACACAACGGTGAACACAAGATGAGATTCAGAGGTACTTAGTGAGCCACACAGTGTGTTCAGAGGCAGAGAAGCAGGAAGATGCACACTAAACTGTTACCCGTAGTTCTTTCTGCAGCACAAGAGGGGAAGTAAAGACCTCCTCCTGTTGATTTCCTTTGCTGTGATTTGGGTTTTTATTTCATTTTATTATTTTTAAAATTTGCCAGAGGGTGCCTGTGAAAAGACAGTGGGGCAGGGGCAGGAAGAAAGCACTCCCCAGGGGGCATGATCATGCCACAGTCCTTTCCCTTCCACCTCCTCCTCCTTTCAGGGTTCTGGGAATGTGCACACACATGTGCCCGGCATATGGTTCAAGCTGCTTAGTGCAAGACTCAAACCACACAACTGGCCATGTGGGATTCAACCTCCTTACCCATCAGGTCATGCGTTGTTTTTGCTTGTTTGTTTTGTACATAGCAAGTATCTATTCATGCGTTAAAAATGTTTAAAGGGCGGGACCAGCAGTTAGCGCAATGGCTATGTCACTGGACTCCCACATGGCCGATCGTGGTTTGAGTCCTGGACCCAGTGGCTTAAACTCATGCTGGGCCCTTGTGCGTGTGTGCCCAAGATCCCCAGGGGCGAATGGAGGAAAAGGGATTGTGGCATGGCCATCCCCCCTGGGGGTGTGATTTCTCGCTTTCTGTCTCTCTGTCTCTCTTAGTCTTTCTGGTGAGTGCACGCACCCTACAGGAAAAAAAAAAAGTTTAAAGGGATGTATTTCCATTTCTCAGCTCAACCAAGAAAAGCTTTGGCCTGCTAATCTAATCTAGAGGAGGAACTTGGTAAGTAACCGCTCAGGGCAATAGAGTAAGGGAAAGATCCCTGCGGATCAGACAAGGAACAGACTCAGGAACTGTGGCCAGCATCGACCCCACAGGCACCTGCTCTGCGGGTCTGGGAGGCACGAAGGCCACGCGGAGAAGCTTCAGGGCAGAGCCACAGGCCAGGGTGGTAGCCAGGCTGGCGGGGGCACCTGTGAAGGGCCACCCCTTCTTCTTATTTATGAAAGGTCTCTCCGGAAACACACACTCTGGAGCTTTTGAGTCCAGGAATGAGGTAACTGAGAAAACTCAGGCCTGACAAACCTCAGCTAAGGAAGCTTTGGTCTGAACTCTGTTTCTTATTATATGTGAAGAGAAATGCAATCCGTTTTTCTGTCCTCTGCCTTCCTTCGGTTCAACCGGAGTGAAGGGCATCGTAGGCCGTTATTACAACTGTCCTGGTAGAAGAATGAGAATTCTGACATCTGCCGGCAACGTGGGGACTGCAGTCTAGAAAGGGAGAGCTGGGTTGATGTTCAAGCTGCTCTAAAAATGATGTTCAAGCTGCGCTTTCCCTGCATTATTGTAGTAATACGAATTTATTTTAGGGATAGAGCAAAAAAGAGTAAAATAAATTATCCATAATCCCTTCACCTAAAATAAGGATTAACAGTTCGGTGTATTTCCGATTAGTCGATTTTTTTTTTTATTGCCAGAGGGTACGAGCACTCCCTATGGAGAGACGAGAAACAGAAGGAGAGGGAGAAAGTGCCCCCCAGTGGTGCGTGGTCACATTGCAGTTCCCTCTCCTCTGTCATCTTGGGACGTGGGCTCCTCTGTGCACAGGTCTGGCGTGCTTTTCAAGCCACCAGGACTGGGATGTGAACCGTGCTCCCTTAAGCACGAGGCTACGGATCTGGGCTTTGTGTTTTTGATACCCACCCGTGACGACCCTGTATTAAACAGTTACTGATGAAGAAACTTATACATTATGTATGAATCATGGCTGAGTGCTGAGGAGACAGCTGAACGAGATACACAGAAACCGTTCCTTAGGGAATTTCGAGCTCTCCTTTTCGGGTTCTTGCTGTGTGGTCAGCACGATGTATCATATTTTTGTGTGTTTTCTGTACACTGCGCATGACGTTAACAGCTGTCCACGTAATGGCGAGGGGCTTTTGGCACACCCTGACTTTACGAGGCAGGTTATTCCTACCCTCCTCCCTGCTCCTCAGCCACCACACATTACGCGTCAAGAAGCCAACTTGGACACGTCAGAGAACCTGGCCAAGGTGACGTCCCTTGGGATCAGGCCGAGCTAGGGCCGTGCCCAGCCCCTCTAGCACCCTGCTGCACAGACCAGCTGTAGGATTCGTGACGCTTTCCCTTCTCCTCCCCTTGCCAGGTCCGACTGTCCCGGCGGCTCGGAGACCAAGCTACAGCCAATATGATGGATGACGACACGGAGCTGAGGACTGACGGCAACTCCCTTTTAAAGGCTGTGTGGCTGGGGCGGCTACGGCTGACCAGACTCCTGCTGGAAGGGGGCGCCTACATCAACGAGAGCAATGACAAAGGAGAGACGGCACTCATGGTGGCGTGCATCACCAAGCACGCGGACCAGCAGAGCATCAGCAAGTCCAAGATGGTGAAGTACCTGCTGGACAACAGGGCAGACCCCAACATCCAGGACAAGTCGGGCAAGACCGCGCTCATCCACGCCTGCATCCGGAGGGCCGGCGGGGACGTGGTCTCCTTGCTCCTGGAGAATGGAGCTGACCCCAGCCTCGAGGACCGCACTGGGGCTTCCGCGCTGGTGTATGCGATCAATGCGGACGATAAGGATGCGCTGAGACACCTCCTCGATGCCTGCAAGGCCAAAGGGAAGGAGGTGATTATTATAACCACGGATAAATCGTCCTCAGGCACCAAAACCACCAAACAGTATCTTAATGTCCCTCCTTCACCCAAAGTGGAAGACAGACAGTCACCTCCCCTGTGTACGTCTCCCTCTGACATCGAGCTGAAGGCCCCGGGCCTGGGCTGTCCGCCTAGTGAGAAGGAAGATGACTTCTTCAGCCTCCAGACAGGGCATGCAAGTGGTGGCGGTGCCTCCAAAGTTCCGAATGAGCCCGTATCACCCACCAGGAAAGTCGGGAATCTCAAAAGGGCCCGTTTGCCCCAACTGAAGAGGCTGCAGTCTGAACCCTGGGGCCTGATCGCTCCCTCTGTGCTGGCAGCCTCGGCGCGCCAGGACGAGACCCACGGCACCAGCACCGACAAGAGCCTCGGTGACGTGTCCTTCCCCAAAAGGGGGCCCCTGTCCAGAACCAACAGTATCGACGGCAAAGACCTGGCTCTCTTCCCCACGGTTGCCGAGCAGGTCCTCAAGATTCCAGCCTCTTCGGCACCAGCCTCCTGGAAAGCAGCCTATGAGAAAGGTCAGGCTCCCCACCCGCGCCTGGCCAGAAGGGGAACTCTCCCTGTGGACCAAGAGAAGGGCATTGTGGGTCCACCAGGACCCTCTTCTCTCAAGGAACCAGCGGCCCTCAAATGGCTAGAAAATGACCTCTACGATTTGGATTTACAGCCAGGGACTGACCCGCCCGGTACCATTTCCCTAGAATCCGGCAAAGGACCCTTAGACAGAAAGAAACTCAACAGCTCCCATCTGTCTCTCTTCCATGGCTCCCGAGAGTCCCTGGATGCAGCCGCCAACACATCCCCCAGCTCAGCACGCCGCAGGCCACCGCACCTTCTAGAAAGACGAGGATCTGGAACTCTGCTCCTAGACCGCATTTCTCAGACCAGGCCTGGCTTCCTTCCACCTTTAAATGTGAATTTGAACCCACCAATCCCGGACATTCGATCTAGCAGCAAACCGTCTTCCCCACTGGCCAGTGGCTTAAAGTCTATGGTCCCCGTGGCTCCAAGTTCACCGAAGAGAGTTGACATGAGAAGTAAGAAGAAGCTCCTCAGAAGGCACTCCATGCAAATCGAGCAGATGAAGCAGCTGTCCGACTTCGAAGAAATCATGACCTAGAAGATTTTAGGAAGCTCCCCCCACCCCCCAAATCTGTATAATTTATGGAGGGGCACCGTCATCGAGACCAGTACAGCCATGTGGATTGGCCACCTCCCTAATGTCACTGTGCGGCCACATCAGAAGGTGCAGATGCAGGGTGCCGCTCCACTCCCGAAATAAACCCAGGCGTTATTTCAGAATGTTCTTTCTGAAATAATCCCTGGGTTTTTATAGGCCTGTTTGAAAAAAGCTTGGGATAATTGGGTTTTGGAGATGAAATTAAAAAAAAAAATTCTCCAAAGGAAGAAAAGTTTTGGAGTTTGAAGGTAACAGCGATCTAGTCTGTGGGTACCAGTTATGTTCTATCCAACAAACAGAAAGCGAGAATCTAAAATCACAAGGTGGCATGGCGAGTGTGTCATTTGTAATAAATCTATGAAGTGCCTACAAAGAAATGAGGATTGGACATTTGTGAGAATATGGAGAAATTCAAAACCACCCCTTAGGCTGCTCAGTCTGGGTATCCGGGTTCTCCGATGTGAGATTTCCCATGGAGGAGGTTCTGCCATGTGCCCTGTTGAGCATGGCAGCTCTCCGGTAACACACTCTGTTCACATACTAATTGGGGTGTGCTCTGGGTCCCCACATAGCACACCTACCTGGACCCCAGATTCTGATGTGTCACACAGCTGGTGCCTTAGAGATGAAACTTTCCCCAGAGCCCTAACCGAGGCTCTGTACTGAAATCTTGTGAAAACATACAAAGTGAATTAACTTGGCCTTGAACATAACACAGTTTGTAGAATAGACCTGTAAGGAACATTTCCTCCTCCTCCTCCTCCTCCTCCTCCTCCTCCTCCTCTTCTTCTCTTCTCGGTGTTGATTTTAGGTTTTTTGTTTGTTTTGCTATAGGGCACGTGTGCTTGCCAGAAAGAGACAGAAAGAGAAAAAGTGAGAAATCACCTCCCCGCCCCCCCCCGGGAGACAGCCCCACTGCACTCCCCTCTCCTACACTCTCCTCCCGGGATCTTTGGCACCCAGTGCCAAGTGGCTGGATCCAGGACTCGAACTGCAGTCAGTCATGTGGGATCCAGTGCCTCAATCTCCATTCTACCTGCCGGCCACTCCTCATTATTCCTAAGAACACTTGGTGAGATCTACCCAAACCAGGATGGTACAGGGTGGTGAAATGTGCTCAGATTAACAGGTAAAAGAGACAGTTGTGAGGATGGAAATGGCGGGGACCTTTTCAGGGTGTAGCCTGAAAATCTTAGACAATGCAGACTGGCATTTCTCCTTCAGTTATGAAGGTAGTTGACGAAAAAAAAAATGGGTTTCTTCTCTGCCTGAATGATCTAATTGATGCGAAGTTGGTGGAAACAATCTGCACAACCCTGTATAAACCCCAGAAAGGAAAGCAGAGACTTTGGCATTTTGGATGTCACATAGCCACATGTTCAAAGAAAATATGATTGGTTATTTCCCACGTGCTTTCTCTCTCATGCTGCCGGGATGCGTCTGCTCTCTGGTTGAACAGTTGGGTAGTTCCTAGAATGGCATCATGCAGAGGAAAGAATAAAAGCTTGAGTCTGACATATTTGGGTTTGCATCCCAGTTTCATCAAGCACCAGCTGTGTGACCTTAGGGCGGTAGCTTAACCTCTCTGGGCCCCTCTTTCCTTAGCTGTAAAATGGACTAACCTTACTTTAGCTTGCAAGGCTGTAGTGAGGATTAAAGGGCACAATGTCTGAAAGTGCTTGTTTTTGTGTCTGGCATGGGTAAAAGTCATAGGATAAGCGATAGCTCATTTTAACTTATTTCTTAGAACTCTGACGCCTCGAAATCTCAAATAATACCTAATACTCAACACGAAAAGGAGTAAAGTCTAGCTGAAAAATTCAAGTGTCCCCTTGAGATCCTCTGTTATTCTATAAACACTAATCACTAAACTCACTTATAAAGTAAAAACTAAAAGCAAAACAAAACAAAAACTCTTCCACCTAAGTTCTCCATATTATACCATTTCTATGACATTTGCTAGAAATGTATCTGACTATCCCAAACAGAAGTGTTAGTGATGGCTACAAACAGACCAATGTGCTTATTTTCTAATGATTCTTTAGGGGCAGGCTCTTATTCAAACTCAGTGCTATTGACATCCAGGGCTGGGGAAGTCTTTGCGGTGAGTGGGACTGTCCTGTGCGTTGCAGGGCGTTTAGTAGCATCTCTGGCCTCCACTCACTAGATGGCAGTAGCACCCTTCCCTCAGCTGCAACAACAAAAATCTCAACGTGGCCAGATGGCTCCTGGGGGCGACATCACTGTGGCTGATCACCAGGGCTCTAGGGAACTTCGGTGTACATGGTAGAAATATGTTAGGAACAACAGAGATGCACAAAGGCACAAAGGTGTAGCTTTCAGGATCTTGGTACACACACCCCACACACACACACACACTCACACTCCGATGATCTCTGTACTTTGCAGGAAGGGAAGGAAAGGAAAGCACGTAACTTTCACATAGTGAAAATCTGCAGCTCATGAATCTGGCCTAGTGCTTTCAGAATCATTTCATTGTTAATAGTTCTTACCAAGTAGATGTGACTCTGGGCACAACTCTCTAATGCATTATAGAGAGAAAAAAAAAGTCATAGCGATCCCACTCCGATGATCTCTGTACTTTGCAGGAAGGGAAGGAAAGGAAAGCACGTAACTTTCACATAGTGAAAATCTGCAGCTCATGAATCTGGCCTAGTGCTTTCAGAATCATTTCATTGTTAATAGTTCTTACCAAGTAGATGTGACTCTGGGCACAACTCTCTAATGCATTATAGAGAGAAAAAAAAAGTCATAGCGACAACCATCCTTCTCAGCAGCTCATTCAACGCACTCGCACGCACTCTTCCAGCTGTTGTCAGTGCCAGTGCAAACCACCTTCTGCTAGCAGCGTCTGGCTGTGGGGACAGCAAGACACTGTCTAGGAGCATTTTTGTAAACCTGTAGCTAAACCTTGGAAGCCTAATTTATCCTAAGTAGTGACTATGGTACACTCATGGTGATTAGTTTAGGTGAAACATCAAACACGATGAGTTGCTCATTCAGGATAGCTGGACCACTGTGTAGACGTGCAACATCGGGTATCTCATGCCACTCGGGGCCTGCGTCCATCAATCATGACCTTTCCATTGGCCTTCTAGAGCGTCATCAGGATGTAGCTTATCTCATCCCTACTTGGTGATGCATTCACTGAATTAGACTGTTCTAAACTAGCGTGATGACCAAAATACGTTATCATGGTTTATGCGTCAGTAAGCCATTTTGTCTGTGTCGATGAACCTTACAAGATCACTTTCCAAAAGCATAGTTTAGATTCAAACATGCTTTCGAGACCAGAGGTGAGCTTTTCCTTTTAGAATTCTATATAAATTAGCTGCACACGGTAGTTTCAATAATCCATCTACTTAAGATTCTTTGAACTATTTATCAAAATACAATACAGAACGTGAGCCTGACGCTTAAAGTCTGGAACTCGGGTTTATATTTCTCGACATTCCAAAGCCCCCCACTTTTAAAAAGTCACTGTCAGTTTTCTTAGAACTTCATCAAGTAGATGATCCCCTGCAAATTGCAGGCTACGTGTGACCATCGTGTTTTGTGTGCTGGTGCTTCCGATGTCTCGTATGCTGCTTGAACTGGTTCTCTGTGGTGTCATATCCTAGTCTCAAGCTGAAGACGTGCTCGAAAATGTATCACAATCCATGTAACGAAGCTGTTGAGATGTTTCTACTATGTCAATAAAAGATATTGTAATCGTTCATTAGTGATAATTCTCACCATTTCTCATCGAAATTTCAACTACATTCCTTTTTCCTTTTTCTTTTTAATTGCCATGGGGTGTATGTGCTTACCAGAGAGAGGCAGAGGGACAGAGAAGGGGAGAGAGAGAGAGAAAGCACCCCCAATGGGGTATGGTTACACCACAATCCCTTCTCCATTTCTCTGTTCTACCAGGATTTAGGGCATGCACATGCATCCAGCCACATGCTGCAGGGGCTAGGATTCGAACTATGGGCATCCATAAGGGATATGGCTCCCTTAACTACTAGGCCATGGCAGTGAGTTTTTCTTTCTTTCTTTCTTTCTTTCTTTCTTTCTCTTTCTTTCTTTCTTTCTTTCTTTCTTTCTCTTTCTTTCTTTCTTTCTTTCTTTCTTTCTCTTTCTTTCTTTCTTTCTTTCTTTCTTTCTCTTTCTTTCTTTCTTTCTTTCTTTCTTTCTCTTTCTTTCTTTCTTTCTTTCTTTCTTTCTCTTTCTTTCTTTCTTTCTTTCTTTCTTTCTCTTTCTTTCTTTCTTTCTTTCTTTCTTTCTCTTTCTTTCTTTCTTTCTTTCTTTCTTTCTCTTTCTTTCTTTCTTTCTTTCTTTCTTTCTCTTTCTTTCTTTCTTTCTTTCTTTCTTTCTCTTTCTTTCTTTCTTTCTTTCTTTCTTTCTCTTTCTTTCTTTCTTTCTTTCTTTCTTTCTCTTTCTTTCTTTCTTTCTTTCTTTCTTTCTCTTTCTTTCTTTCTTTCTTTCTTTCTTTCTCTTTCTTTCTTTCTTTCTTTCTTTCTTTCTCTTTCTTTCTTTCTTTCTTTCTTTCTTTCTCTTTCTTTCTTTCTTTCTTTCTTTCTTTCTCTTTCTTTCTTTCTTTCTTTCTTTCTTTCTCTTTCTTTCTTTCTTTCTTTCTTTCTTTCTCTTTCTTTCTTTCTTTCTTTCTTTCTTTCTTCTTTCTTTCAATTTTTCCCCCCATAGGGCATGTGTGCTTGCTAGAGAAAAATGGAGAGAGGTAAATTGAGAAATCACTCCCCAGGGGGATGGCCACAACGCAATCCCTACTTCTCCATTCTCTTGGGATTTAGGCCACATGTGTACATGTGCTCAGCATGGTTTTCAAGCTTCTGGGTCCAGGACTAGAACCATGGAGTTAGCCATGTGGGATCCAGAGCCTTAACCACTATACCGGCTGCTGGCACATGGTAAGTTTATTAGGCCCCTGCTGCTTGGATTCCCCCAGGGATGTATCTGCCGTCTGCTAGTGATAGGGACTTAGACTCTCTGGATATCCCTCCTTGGGTCCTATTACTGTTTATCACCAAAGTTACATGTTTTGGAATTTGATGTTGAGAGGTGGTGAGGCCCTAGTGGGAGGTGGTTGGATTTTGGTAATTGCATTATGAAGGCAACAGTGTCATAAATGGATTAATAATGTCCTGTGAGTTCTAGCTCTCCTGAGAAGTTAGTCCTGACAAGTGCTGGTTGTTTGGAGAAAGAAGCTGGCCTTCCCTCTGCATGGGCCTGCCACTCTCCGTGCTCCCATCAGCACATCCCAGCCAGCTCGGCACCGACAGCTTCGGACTTTCCAGTCACCAGAACTGTGAGTTCTTTATACTAATCACCTCGTCTTGGTTATTTTTGTCAGCAACACAAAAGCAGATTAAGGCCCTACCTTGGAACACCGATGGACATTGGCTCGCTTCAAGGGCAGGGCAGCAAGCATGGAATGAACAATGGAAGGATTTCCTTGTCTGTTAAACTCAGTGCTCTATGATTCCAATTTCATCTCAGCTCCCTGGTTCTTTGGACAGCTCAAGCCCTACCATCCAGTTCTTCCCTAGACCCCTGAAGTAAAGTGGGCCCGGGAGGGAGAGAGAGAGAGTGCGAGTGAGAGCGTGACAAGGGACTAGTGTCAGCATGTCTTTTCTCCACCTCTCTGCTCAGGGAAGGGAGGCCGATGTTCCCAGATTCTTTGAGGGAAGATCACGAGGACCCTTCCTAGAAGAGAAACAGACGGTGGGTGGGATGGGAGAAGTAACGAGGGACAGAGCTAAAGTGGCCGGTTTTGGAGGAGGGCGTGCATTCCCAAGATCTAACACAGGCTTATAAATTTGGGGGCCCCGAAATGGTATTTGCTCCTTTCCTTAGAAAGGAGGGGCTCCCTGGGACCCTGCGGGTCCCGGGAAAATAGAAGAACGTGGTGAGGGTCCCCTACTAGGGAGGGCGCGCCAACGACCCGCCTTCCCAGCGGGAGACCCATCCTCGGAGCGGAGCGCGGGGGCGTGTCCCCGTCCCCGCCGGGCCCGCGCGCAGGCGCAGAGGACGGAAAGGGCTCGGCCCTCCGCGAGCGCGCGTCTGCGCACTAAGCTGCCCGCCCTCCGGAAGCGCGGCGCCGGGCTCGCCACGTCTGCCCCAGCACATCCTCCTGGTCCCGCCGTGGACGGCTCAGCTGCTTCAGCCGGTGGAGGGCTCAGGACCCCGGGACTGGACCGAGAGCGTCATGGGCTGCACGGCCTCGCGCTCCGCCTCCACGCTGCTCCTGCTGCTGCTGCTGCTGCTCCGGGCCGAGAGACCCCAGGGTGCAGAGCTCACCTTCGAGCTGCCGGACAACGCCAAGCAGTGCTTCCACGAGGAGGTGGAGCAGGGCGTGAAGTTCTCCCTGGACTACCAGGTGAGCGGCCCCGGCCGCCCTTCACCCTCCTCTGCCTGCACTCGGCTGCACGCTGGCTCGCCTGACAGCTGGAAGTCGCCCAGGAGGCTTCCAGGGTGGGAGTCGCCCAAGGGCAGTTGGCCTCTCCCGGGGAGGTACTGTTGGATCAGTCAGAGCCCACCAGGCACCGGCCGGGCTGGCGAGGCAGGTGGTCAGCGCCGCAGGTGCGTGGAGGAGGAGCACAGGAGTTAGCTAGAAAGACCTCCTCGGGCCCGTGGCCTCCGAGGAGAGCTAATTCTGATCAGCTGGACGCAGGCTGTCCCAGGTGTCTTAGACCAACTTTTTCCTGAAAGTACCCAAGAATGGCAGCGAGAGGAAGTGGGCTCATTATTTCTTTTTACCCCTCCAACGTATAAAGTTGGGGTCGGGATGAGCGCGGCGGCGGTGAGAATGGGCGCTTTGGGGAGAGGTCCAGGCGCAGCCTCGGAGTCCTGGCAGTGGTCACACAGAGTGGTGGTGTCGCTGCAAATTTCCGCCCGTGCCATATGGCTCAGAAAAGCCCATCTTCCCACCATCCTTTGAGAGCTCTCCTGGCTCACAGTCGCCAGGAGCAGGTGTCCTCGGAGGGGCCTGTCCCTAAGGTGTAGTAGGCAGACCTAGGGTTAGGGAGCCCAGTGGACACCTGCGGGATATTCCAGGACAGGTGGCAGGAGCCGCAGCTGCAGGGACAGCTGTTGGGCCAGCCCTCTGTGTGGACGGGTGCTGGAGGAGGCTTTGTGTGTTAGTTCGAGCCTTTGATAATCTGTCTGGGTTCTTATCGGTGGCCCCACGTGGATTTACAGGCGTCTGTGCAAAATGATAACTGTGTGTGTGGAGGGACTGCATGGCTTTCGGGTGCTGTCCTACATGGCTTAAGTTCCTTGCCACAGGACCCTGGCTGCTTCAGGTGAAGCTGCTGAGCGGGCCTAGTGATTCTTACCTGGTCTGCACTTTTGGTGTTGGAAGCAGGTGGAGGCCATCAGTTGAACCCTGTGATGGACGGCTGTAGCCATCGACTGCCTGTGTGGTTTCGCCCTGCTCCGGTCTTCCTTCTCTTAGGTTCACAAGGACTGTTTGAGCCAAACGATTCCCCAGAAATTCCCACATTTGACACTCACTGCTTCTACGAACACTTCAAATATTGTATTCTCCTTGCAGCCAATAATAATACTGAATCATACACATTTTATTTTTCAGAGAGATTTTTGCTATAGAGTATATGTGCTTGCCAGAGAGACAGAGACAGAGAGATAGAAAGGGAGAAGTCACCCCGGGGTGGGAGGGCTGGATGGCCACACCACAATCACTTCTCCATTCTCCTCTTGGGATTCCAGGAACACGCGGACATGGGCCTGGTGTGAGTTTTAAGCCACTGGGTCCAGAACTTGAACCGCAGTGATGACATGGGAGTCTAGCGATGTAACCATTATGCCATCCATTGGTCCCAATACTGAATAACATTGTTAAGAGTTATTGTTATTTTAGTTTATTTTTCGCTATAGGGCACATGTGCTCGCTGGAGAGAGATAAGAGAGAGGAAAAGTGAGAAATAACCTCCCCCGGGGGATGGCCACGCCATAATCCCTTCTCCATTTTCCTTTTGGGATTTTGGGCATGCACGCACACACACATGCACCCGGCATGTTTTTGAAGCCTCTGGATCCAGCACTTGCATTGTGGAGTCGGCCGTGTGGGATCCAGCGTCTTAACCACCATGCCACCTGCTGGCCCCAAAGTTAATATTATTAAAAGATGATATTCCGAGTTAGTAGACCCATTCGCAAGCCAAGAATGCACTTGCACTGGGCTCTTGGCCGTCAACAGAAGGGAGAAGCAGTCGTACAGCTTGGATGCCACGTGTTCTTCTCCAGGGTGGCCCAGAGTCAGATCCCCTCCCCACCATCTCTCAGAAGGCCAGTTTGTAGCTTAGGACCGCCCAGTACTTGACTTGCACTTTGGGCACGTGCCAGGTGTCCCACTCGGTGCTTAGCCCTTGAATGTGGCACCTCGTTGAACCTCACTGCACTTCTCTACCATACCTGTGCCCCGTTCATGGAGGAAGACACGTCCTCAGAGGAAAGTAACGTGTTCAGGGTCACAGCTGATGAGTGACAGTGCCCTGGAGAAGTGCCTTGTCCCATCTTACATTAAATACTGAACAAAGATGGCGTCTAGTTGTTGTGGGACAGCTTCTTGGGCATCCCTTTCCTCGTCTTCCTCCTGGTTCTGAAGGTCTTTTTGGCACCATCCCATGGAGCACAGTTCCCCTGGACTGCCTGTGTTCCTGTGGCGTGGTAGTGCAGTGCCTAAGTGTTTGGGTGCTGGAGCCAATAGCCTTGAGGCCGGCCGAGCGCTACCACTCTGTGTGGTCTTAGGCAACTTACGTGACCCCCGAGCCTCAGTTTGCTGTTCTGTAAAATGAAAACGATCAGGCTCATCGTCCTGCAGAGGAAGCCCTCTGAAGTCAGACAGACCTGGATGCAAACCCTAGTCCTGTCCCCTTCAAGTGCTGGGGCCATGGCTGACATACTTAACCTTGCTCGGCCTTGGTACAATGGGAGGTGAGGTAGCACCTGCCTCAGAAGGTGGTGAGGATGGATGACAGGAACGTTCGTGGTCTGATGACGGGCATTTAGTGGATGGTGGCTGGCTCTGTGGTCACAGCAGACTTTTTGTGGTTGTCAGGTCATCACTGGAGGCCATTACGACGTGGACTGCTATGTGGAGGACCCCCTGGGGAACGCCATCTACAGGGAGACCAAGAAGCAGTACGACAGCTTCACGCACCGCGCCGAGGTCAAGGGTGTGTACCAGTTCTGCTTCAGCAATGAGTTCTCCACCTTCTCTCACAAGACCGTCTACTTCGACTTCCAGGTGGGCGATGAGCCCCCCATCCTCCCAGACATGGGGAACCGAGTCACAGCTCTCACCCAGGTGAGTGGACATGGACAAGGACAGGCCTGGCTGGACTCCCCCAGCCTGTTCCTCCCACCAGGTCCCTGCGTGGGCTAATGAGCAAGCATCACATCCGTCCAGCTCTCGCTCCGCAAGTCTCTGCTGGCTTCGCCTTCCTTCATGCCCGGTCCCAGAGCACGGCGCGTCCTCCTTCCACTCTTTTTCCAGATCCCCGCGTACTTTGCTCTGGTGTTCCTGCCTCTGCTCCCTCGTTCCCACTGGGTCCTCACACAGTACTGCTTTCAAAGTACAGTTGTCGTGTCTCTCTGCTTATAGGACATGGGTGTGTCTTAAACACCCTGGGCCTACTTCATGCCGTGTTTTATTCAAGGTAACACGAGCAGCTAAACTCTACATGGCAATAGCTTAATGCGCTCCACACCTATTCTCGGCCATAACAACATAAAGGGGGCTGATGGGGTTTTTCTTTCCTGGTATAACTCAGATTTGCAGGCTCGCTCTTGTCCTCTTTCTGCCTTCCCTTATGGCTTTTGAGTCCTCTGCCTCTGGTAACTATAGGGAGAGAATGAAGAAGCTCCACCTGCTGCTGCTGGATTGTTGTTGTTTGTTTGTTTCCTTTTTTCATAAGAGAGAGAGAGACGCTCTCAATAAGGTCTCAGGCCATGATCCATCCCCCATCCTGCCCAGCCAGCCAGGGTCATGGATGGGGTTTACAGGTCAGTTGGGGAACCGAACCCACAGTCTTCCACATGGATCCAGCATCCTCGAGCAGCCTGTTACTACTGCTCCCCAGAACCACCCCACCTGTTTCCTGAAAGCCCTGGGCTAGTCGTCACATCCCTTCTGCACCTGTCCCGTTGGTGGGAACTGGTCAGGTGGCAAATCGGGATGACAGGAGGGATGGCAAGTAGAGTTCCAGCTGGGTAGTCACCTCTTGGCAACAATCCACACGACAGAACAAACTGACAGTTTCGGAGGACGGAGAGTCGTCTCTGTCACCCGTGGGTGTCAAGTTAATTATTATTGAACCCCAGCCTCCTTGGTCAGTCTTCTCTCCTGCTGTTTAAACTCCTCCTCCCCTCAGACATGCATACCGTGAGCTGGGGCTCTGAACCGATTGCCGACGTGTCCTCAGTCCCAGCACATGGGGCGTGGCGTGGCAAGGAGCTCACCAAGTGTTTGTCAAATGAGTGTGTGTGCAGTGGCCCAGGGAAACCTGTCAGACAGGAATAGCTCTTTATGGCTGCACTCGTTTGAAAGTTTAAGCAAAACAGCGCACCCAGAGTCTTCGGGCCTAAGTACCTCCTGGACTGACCTCCTTGGAGGCTACGTGCTCGTGAAAGCCATGGGTCCTACTGCCCAACCTCACACCATCCCCAAGTAGTTGGAGGTTAAAGCCATGGTGTCCAGCACACTAACCACCGTCCACCTGTGGCTGTGTAAGTTAACTCGAATGATGGCCTTTCTCACTCACCGCATGGCAACCTTTCAATACCCGATGGTGGCCACTGGCCACATGTAGAACTTTCCACTGGGTGACCCTGGGTTTGAATTTGGCGCTGTGACTGCTGCTAGAAGATCCAGCCAGGGCCAGCAGGTGGCGTGGTGGGTAAGATAGCTGGATCCCACATGGCCAACTGCGCAGGTTGAGTCCTGGACTTTGAGACTTGAAAAACTCGCCAGGTGTGTGTGTGTGCACATGTGTCCAACATCCTGAAAAGAGAAGGGCTTGTGGGGTGGCCACTTCCCTCCCGGGGGTGGTGGTTTCTCACTTTCTCTCTTTTTTTCCTGTAGCAAATGCATGCACCCTAAACTAAAACTACACACACACACACACAAATCCCACCGAGGTTGCGTGTCATGTGTAAGATCTTTTGCAGCCGATACGCTCGAGACTTCTGTTGGTCCCGAAGGAAACAGCCTCCACTTGAGAGATTTTGTAAGTCCTTAAAGGCCGAGCTGCTGGGCTTCCCTCTTTAACCAGTGAAAACAAATTCTTAGAGGAAAGGCTTAATGAATGAAACCAATAGAGAAATTCTTTCCTGGAGCCCGAGGGTTAAGAGTTTGGTCTTGTCGCAGGAAAGGGTGAGTTACACTTCTCTCTTCCAACCTCTAAGAACCTTTTCTGTGCTCCCGTCCAGCCTCAAAGGTGGTGTCTCCTTCCACTTATTTTTTAACTCTTATTTCTTGGACTTTTCATGGTGGTACTAAGATGCTGACCATATTTCCTGAGTCCTCTTGTTCACATCATCCCTGAATTTCTCCGGTTATGGCGATGTCTGTCAGCTTTTAAAACTCCCTCTTCCTTATGCAGACCCAGGGTTTTTAGGGCTTCTTTACTCTGCACAAGTGATATGGAGCCTCTGTTCGAGGAGTCCGTCATCTCAGACATAGCCACAACGTTAGGGCTATCCAGAAAGAAAGGAAAAGCAGTGACTGTTCCTTTGGTGACTCTTGGACGTTCCAGTTGAGATATTAAATGTTCTCTTGCTTTTTCTGGCTGGCCCAGAGTCATTCAACCACGAACCACAGTCAGCTCATGTGGGAGTCTAGCACCTTTATCTATCACCCGGCCTTGGCATGGTGGTTAAGGTGGCTGTCTTCCACATAGCTGACTCTGGTTCGAGTTCTGGCATCTTGAAAAACAAACTGGGTGCATACGTGTGTATGCACGTGTGCCCAAAATCCCGAAAAGGGGGGGAAGTGGAAAAGGGACTGTGGCATGACCATCCTTCATGGGAGAGGGAGGGTGCTTTCTCTTCTTCCTCTCTTTCTCTTCTTCCTCTCTTTCTCTCTCTTGGTCTCTCTGATAAATGCACATGCCCTCTAGCATATTAACAAAGCCCTGAAACCCAGAAAGCATAGACTTAGCATTCAAAGACTTGAGTCAAGGAGCCTGCAGGTGGTGTGGTGGTTAAAGTGCTGGACTCCCACATGGGTGACCTTGGTTTGAGTCTTGGACCCGTCAGCTTGAAAATCATGCTGGGTGCATGTGCGTGTATACGCAAAACCCCAAGAGGAGAATGGAGGAAAAGGGATTGTGGCATGGCCATCCTCACTGGGGGGTGATTTCACTTTCTCTCTCTCTCTCTGTCTCTCTCTCTCTCTCTGTCTCCCTCTCTCTCTCTGTCTCTCTCTCTCTCTGGCGAGCACACGTGCCCTGTGGCAAAAACCTTACCAAAAATAAAAAAGACTTGAGCCAAATCTGACCCCGCCACATACTCACTGAGCTGTGTAACCTCTCTGTGCCACAGTTAGGCCTGTCGTGAGATTAAGCAGGACCACGTAAGACGCTCTGCACAGCACAGTCGGCTTCGGCAGATGCCGCCCTTCCTGGGACGTGGACGGCGTTTGCTGTGTGCTTGTCTCAGGGTCAGCAGTGTGACTGCTCTTCTCTTCCCGCCCAGATGGAGTCTGCCTGTGTGACCATTCATGAGGCTTTGAGGACGGTGATCGACTCCCAGACACATTACCGGCTCCGGGGGGCCCAGGACCCGGCCCGGGCCGAACACCTGAACCACGGGCCGGGCCGCGAGCCGAAGACCTGAACAGCCGAGTGTCTTACTGGTCTGTGGGCGAGACGATTGCCCTGTTCGTGGTCAGCTTCAGCCAGGTGCTGCTGCTGAAAAGCTTCTTCACAGAGAAACGGCCTGTCAGCAGGCCCGTCCACTCCTAGCTGAGGCGTCCTGCTCTGGGCCCTGGGCCCTTGTACCTAGGCTGGAGCAGCCCTCTTGGGCCTCCTGCCCAGCTGAGTGGAGGCGGGGTTGCAGGGTGGAGAGTGCTGGGTGATGGGCTGGACTGACAGCCCCCTTGCCTCTGCACAAATGCCTGATCGATCCCGCACCCCGGTGGCCGAAGCCCATGGAACCCAGTCACCCGAAGGCATTCGATTACGTTCTGTATGTCACTCTGAAAGCGTGTACGGGCAGGCCAGACACGGGCCGCTATGGAAGGGCAGGCAGGTGGAAAGCCATTGGTAGGACCCTGAGGCCCAGGCCTCCAGGCAGCTCTGGGCCCTGGTTTGCTCCCTGGTGCCCGGATCACTTGATTCTGGCCTTTCCCCTGGGGCGCCGTCTGCCTGAGGAGCACTGCGTGGCTTTGCAGATCCACTCGTCCTCCACACTGACAGCATCGGCCATGCAGGACCAGCATGGTGACGGCGTGCCCTTGGGCAGCTGCGTGCCTCCAGCGAGGGGGGCTCTGGCTAATAAAATCCGTGTGAGCACCCTGGAGACTTGCGTTTTCATTTCCTTGCTCTAGAGGAGCCCACTGCTCGGCGGGGAGCACGGGCATGTGGATGTTTAAAGGGCAACGGGCGCATGGTGGCCTAGAGACGTCGGGAAGGGGGTTGCCAAGGGCAGAGACGCGCAGAGGGTGCGGCGAGAGCGAGCCGAGGAGTAGGAAGTCTGCTTGCTGCTGCTGTCAACGCCGGCCGGGCCTTAGCGCCCTCTCCCTGGTGTGACCTGCTCCGTCTTCTCTCTCCCCAGATGTTGCGTCATCAAGTGACGTCTCCCCAGCCACTCTGTTCAAGATGGCAGTGTCTCACCTGCCCTCTGCCCACTGATAAATGGCTGCACGGCCCGGTGTCCGTGCAGTCGGCCTTGGGGGAAGCAAACCGGTAAAGAAATGTGCAATCCTGGTAGTCTAGCAGGCGCTCGTGTGTGGGGAGGGGGCGGCCCCTAGCCTAGCTTACGGAGGTGAAGGATCAGGTGCTGCAGACCTTTTGTATGCTTTTGATGTTCTCTCTTCCCTCTTTTTTTTTTTTCCTTCTGAAATAAGTGCTAGTATGTCTAAAAGATTATTTATGAAACACATCTAGGATAGAGGAAAAATGATACAAGTCCATGTGTCCCCACCACCTGCTGAGACAGACGGACAGGACCCGTACTCCCTGGAAGCTCCCCCGGCCCCTTTTCTTCCTTACCCTCTGCAGGAACCACCAGTCCAAATTTAGTGTTTATCCAGCACCAAGACAGAGTTGAAAGAATTGAGGCTTTATTCTACTAAAATGTTTCACGGCACCCTTAATTTAATTTAAATTTTTTAATGGAAACAAGGTTCTTCCAACCTTTAAAAAAATAATAATAAGCATTGTTAGTGACTCCTGTTTTGTTTCGATAACCTCATAATTATTTATCCATACATATGTGTACTGGGGTGAACACCTTGCCCTGTTCATGGGATTAGGAAATAAGGTTTGCCATAAAATTTACTTTTTACGTTTACAGTTTATTCGATGTTGATTTTTATCACTTACGTACTAAAAACACTTGTCATAACCACACAGTCCAGAAGAAGTGTCTTTGACACTTAGAGCTTTATGGTCACATAGCACGTGAGGCAAGATTGAAAATGAAATATTTTTGACAGAGAAATACATTAGGGTACTGAATGGGAGAATTTCAAATGTAACACGATACAGTTCTATCGGAAAGGTGAACGGAAGAAGGAATTTAAGTCAAGTGGGAGTCATCCATTACGATCCTCTGTCCTAGGACTCCCTTTCTTCCCTTTTTAAAATTTTTAATTATTTTTTTCTTTTAAAGAGAGATTTTTGCTATAGGGTGCGTGTGCTTGTCAGAGGCAGAGAGACAGAAAGTGAGAAATCACCCCCTAGGGGCAACGGCCACATTGCAGTCCCTTCTCCTCCATTCTCCTCTTGGGACTTTGGACACACATGCACAGGCACCGGGGGTGAGTTTTAAGCCGCCAAGTCCAGGACTCAAACCACAGTCGACGGCATGGGAGTCCAGTGACGTAACCCTTATGCCATCTGCTGGTCTCCCTTCCCTTTGTTTAAGTCTCTCCGGAGAGACGTCAACGAGGGCCTGTCCTTCAGCCTTTCTCAGAATGTATTACCCTACCCCAGGGGAGCGTAAACTCACAGGGCAAAACAAGCAGGCCCCAGAGAAACCCCCAAAAGAATGATGTAGTCCCCTCTTTTCTTAGGGGTTTGGGTACTCCCCCAACCCCTTATGAATGCCTGAAACGGCAACCAGTGCCAGACCCTTTACGTGCTGTGTTTGTCCTGTGTACACATGCCATGGTCACGTTTAACTACGAGGGAGGCACATTAAGATGAACAGCAATAACTAATAGTAAAATAGGCTGTTGGAAACTGGTTTTCAAGCTGCCGGGTCTGGGGCTGGAACCATGGAATTGGCCATGTGGGATCCAGCCTCCTGAACCTCCACACCACCTGCTGGCCCCTGAGTAACGTAAGTTTTCAATTGCGTGCCGTCCTGCTGGCAGCGCTGCCGTGCTTGGGTTTGACTAGCCCTTATCTAATAAAGGCTCCAAAGGAGAAGAGGAGTGATGTTAAATAAGGGTTATCAAACCCAAGTACTGCAACACTACCACAGGAGGGCACACGACTGGACACTTAGGCCACTCCGGGGGTCAGCAGGTGGCGTGGAGGTTCAGGAGGCTCTATTCATTGCGGCTGGTTCTGCGGTTCCAGTCCCAGACCTGGCAACTTGAAAATCTCGCTAAGCATGTGTGTGTGCATGCCCAAAATCCCGAGAGGCGGTGAGAAGAAGGTATTGCAATATGGCCATCTCCCCTGGGGAGTGGCTTCTTTTCTCACTCTCTTTGTCACTGTCTCTCTGGTGAGCACCTGTGCCCTATAGCAAAAACTTCAAGTAGGCTACTCCGAACGGCATACATTTTAAAAACTTATGAACTGTTTATTTCTAGATTTTTAAATTTAATATTTTTAGATCACAGTGGACCCTGGGTCACTGAAACTGGAAAGTAGAATCGTGGGAAAGATAAATGATGATCAACGTCAAAGTCACAGCAACAGAATGAAGGCAACAGAACAAGTAAGCTACCAGGGGAAGAAATGATGCCATTCCAAACTCCGCTATGGTATTTACTGGAAAAAGACAGTGGAACAGTGTCTATAAGGAACTCTGAGGAGAGCGTATAGACCCCCTCCAGATCCAAGAAAATGATAAACTGCTACCTCATTCAAGTACAAGGGTGGACATTCTAAAACTGGAAGGGATTCAAGCAGTGGAGCACCCGTGAACCCTTCTTTAAATTTACTCTTAGGGAGAGAAGAAGTGGGAAAAGACAGAGAATTTATAAAAAGAATTTTAAATTTTATTCGTCATCATTAATTTTTAAAATTTGACCAGAGAGACAGAGAGGAAAGTAAGAAAGCAAGCTGCCAGGTCCAGGACTTGAGCCATGGTCGGCCATGTGGGAGCCCAGGGCCTTCACCGCCTATGCCACCTGCCAGCCCTAAGAGATAGGGTTTTTGATAGGGTCTCACTGTGTCTTGATACTTCTGATCCAGCCTCCAAATTAGCTAGGATTACCAGTGCATACAACCCACCCAGAGTGTTGGGGTTGGCCTGGGTTCCAGACCTGTGCCTCCCATATGGCTTCCAGCCTCCCAGCACCTGCAAACTGGGCTTCATGAACCATTCTTGACAAAAATTTCCCATGGAAAATTAGGGAGTCAGGAGAAGAAAGAAGTCACTGTGGAAGGGGCAGATGGGGAGTAAGCATTTATTTCACCCTTTAAAATAGACAACGGCGAGTAGATGACTATGGAAAGCCTAGTGAGAATAAATTTTACAGATCCCAGTAGTTTAAAAACTGCAATACAGAAAAATGAAATGGAGAATTAGGGGGTAAGAGAAGACAGGAGAATGTGCAAATGTAACTTTATTTTTGGTGATTAGAATTTAAGAAATCAGGGAC